AAAAACGTTCGAAACGTAAAGAATAAAGTACGTGGGTTACGAAAGGTGTACTTTCTTATTATTTCCTATGTTGGGCAGTTTTTATCGCGCACCTGTTGCCTGGCTTCCCCCTATTTGCAAAGATTTGGAGCGTGCGGGTGATGATTTGAACACAGAACAAGCATCTTCGCATGTATTCATGAACAGAAAGAATAAAGCAGTACTTATTTATTGCAAATCAGACTATATTACGTGACTTTCAATTTATTTTGATCGTCTGCAAGCACAAGGAGTTACTTATCCAGTGTTACTGCGTAGTTCTTGCCGTCTCTCTTGGTTTTCCACATGTCCTTCGTTCGTTTGGCACGTATACCCCCATGCTGGAAAGCGCCGGCGCCGTGTTCGCGCTAACAGTGTCCGACAGTGCACATAAATACATGTACGAAGCGGCTTTAGCACCGTTTTTCATGCCACGATTTTAAAATAAAAACGCCGTAACTGACCAATTATTTCATCTGCGTGTCTGGAAAATGTTCCAATGTGCCTATTAGGTACGAATTATTCGTGATATTTGCTCTTATAATCGAGCGCAGGAAGGAAATGCACTCGCTTTTTTCCGTAGAAATGCATTACCGGAAGTCGATTTCGGACTGCTTGCTGTCTGCTTCAATTTGCAACAGCACACTAGCGCCAGTTGAACCTCTAGCGTACATTATAATAACTCTATGAGTCCTCATGGGCCTCTACTAGATCTAAATCAAGACGCCATTTTGAAACCTTGACAATCAAGCCTTTTTTGCAGCAAGTTACTATTTTAACGTATTATTCCATCAAGAAGTCACGCCTCTACCTTTTTAATGCCTCCGACGCGAACCGGTCAACCAGGAACGTCGCCATTTTCAATTCAAGAAACTTGCGCCACCTTCAAGATACTTCTGCCACCTGCCGTCAACTCTGTGGATAATCAACTTATCCTCGGTTGTTACACACATTACATAAAAATTAAAAGTAAAAAAAAAGAACAGTGATAAATGAACCGGGTCTGTCTTTCGCAAACCTGTCGCACCCCATGGTCTCGGACGAGGTGCCAGGCCTAGGTCGCCCTGTTCAGTTTTAGTCGTATCCGCCTGTCCACACGGCAGCTGCGTATTCACGCGTGAATGGGTGGACATATCCGTCAGGTTTGTCTCGACTCTCAAGCTAGGAATTTTAATATGGTTACATTCTTGGCGCTATTTTTGCTCCTGCTAATTCACATTCGTTTTGCGCGCCTTGCAGAAAAATGAACTCGTAGCTCATTTTTTCTCATCTATGCGGCTTTTTGCAGTACCGTGAGCTTTCCAAATAAAATGTTTGGTATTCGATATTCAATTGGACATTTGGCGTTTTGGCGACTACTGACCATTCTTTGTTTCGAATTCAATTCGAGCTCGAACGGCACTATTCCCGCATTTCTATATTCAACTGTTTCCAGCCATTTTCAGCGTATGTAGGACTATCAAAAAGAGCGTAGTGGCAAAACATTGTGGCATCCCCAAGCGTAGCATGTTGAACGCTTATAATTTCGCTAACTTTTTGGTTGCTTATAATAAAGTTTGTCATGAAAGTAGCTGGTGCATCATTGCTCAATATTTCTCCTTTTGCATTCTTGTTACAAATTGAGAAATCTCTATTTAGTTCACATAGCCGTGATTCCGAACGCAATAAATAAAAAAGCACAAAAAGGACAAACGCTGAAGAATGTTAACAGGCCAAATTGTAAACAAATTTCTTAGTGTCGCGTGTTTTGAAACTTCATGTCAAAAATAAAAAGCGCAATGACGTTGACTGCTGACCTTGTATATCGGATAATTTAAGACAAGTAAGTCCTTGGAACTGGACGGAAAAGAAGCGACACATAATGTTTGCCATTTTCTCTTTTCTTTTAATTATTTCTTGTACCTACTAGAATAAACCCTTGGATTGCTGTCATTGTATTTGGGGTGTTACAGCTTCTATGCAATGGGGCGTTATGTTGGCAAATGTACGGCCAGATCTACTACCCCTTCGCTGTGATACTCGGCGACTCTCTTGAGCCACGGTTGAGTTTGCAGCCATTCCGTGAACACGGGTCCATCTTAGCCGCGTTTGATTCAGCTGACAGAAAAGCAGAAAAAATTGACCCTAACGCATTCAAACACAAATAAGTCACCTTTTGGCGGGCTAGTTGGTTCATGATTTGTAGAAATAAATGAACTGCACAAAAGACAAGGACAGAGGTAGAAACGAGTACTACACACGGAGCGCTCCGTGTGTCGTACTCGTTTCTACCTCTGTCCTCGTCCTTTGCGCAGTTCATTTATTTCTACAAATAAGTCCTTCAGTCGTTGCTCAAGACTATTGTTGCTTAAGAGCTTGATCCTGCGGATATCAGCTTGAGTGTTAACACAGCAGTTTTCGGCATAAAACAAAATTGTAAAAAAACTTGTTCAGCTAACCTTTGTTTTTGTTCTCGCAAATTCCAATGATAAAATTTAATAGAGATAGCGAATGTTTGTAGTAGCACAAGTAATGATTGAGTATTATAAAGGTTTTGACATTTTTCTCTTGTGCAGTAATATCCCAAGAGTGGGGTTTAAGTTGGCACGATGAGAATAATTTAATATTAAAAACGGTAAACAGCATGTGTGATGTTTATAATGCAATTAAATGCAAAGATGCAAGCGAGCTGGACAACAATGACGAAATTAAACCCTGGAGAAGGGGAAAAGAGGGACAAAGGACAAACACAAATCTCCATACACAGCTAGGTGACTGGTGCGCGACCGAAAAAATCCGCCTGGTCCGGGTATCGAACCCGGGACCTCTCCATTACAGGTGGAGCGCTCTACCAATTGAGCTAACCAGGGGTTAGACATCAGTAGAGCAAACGGGTTTTATCAGCCACCACCAGTCTAACACCAACAAGGGTGAAGCTTGCAATTTAAGGTTATGATTATAATGCAATTAAATGCAAAGATGCAAGCGAGCAGGACAACAATGACGAAATTAAACCCTGGAGAAGGGGAAAAGAGGGACAAAGGACAAACACAAATCTCCATACACAGCTAGGTGACTGGTGCGCGACCGAAAAAATCCGCCTGGTCCGGGTATCGAACCCGGGACCTCTCCATTACAGGTGGAGCGCTCTACCAATTGAGCTAACCAGGGGTTAGACATCAGTAGAGCAAACGGGTTTTATCAGCCACCACCAGTCTAACACCAACAAGGGTGAAGCTTGCAATTTAAGGTTATGATTATAATGCAATTAAATGCAAAGATGCAAGCGAGCTGGACAACAATGACGAAATTAAACCCTGGAGAAGGGGAAAAGAGGGACAAAGGACAAACACAAATCTCCATACACAGCTAGGTGACTGGTGCGCGACCGAAAAAATCCGCCTGGTCCGGGTATCGAACCCGGGACCTCTCCATTACAGGTGGAGCGCTCTACCAATTGAGCTAACCAGGGGTTAGACATCAGTAGAGCAAACGGGTTTTATCAGCCACCACCAGTCTAACACCAACAAGGGTGAAGCTTGCAATTTAAGGTTATGATTATAATGCAATTAAATGCAAAGATGCAAGCGAGCTGGACAACAATGACGAAATTAAACCCTGGAGAAGGGGAAAAGAGGGACAAAGGACAAACACAAATCTCCATACACAGCTAGGTGACTGGTGCGCGACCGAAAAAATCCGCCTGGTCCGGGTATCGAACCCGGGACCTCTCCATTACAGGTGGAGCGCTCTACCAATTGAGCTAACCAGGGGTTAGACATCAGTAGAGCAAACGGGTTTTATCAGCCACCACCAGTCTAACACCAACAAGGGTGAAGCTTGCAATTTAAGGTTATGATTATAATGCAATTAAATGCAAAGATGCAAGCGAGCTGGACAACAATGACGAAATTAAACCCTGGAGAAGGGGAAAAGAGGGACAAAGGACAAACACAAATCTCCATACACAGCTAGGTGACTGGTGCGCGACCGAAAAAATCCGCCTGGTCCGGGTATCGAACCCGGGACCTCTCCATTACAGGTGGAGCGCTCTACCAATTGAGCTAACCAGGGGTTAGACATCAGTAGAGCAAACGGGTTTTATCAGCCACCACCAGTCTAACACCAACAAGGGTGAAGCTTGCAATTTAAGGTTATGATTATAATGCAATTAAATGCAAAGATGCAAAGTGAGGGCACGTCGACGCCCTTGGATACGATCACCCATATTACTCGAGCAAAAAACAACCGGCGGCAGCAGAGCTGCAACTGAGCACGCCCGCATTCCACCGCGCCGCGCGGAACATCTCCTAGATAACTAAGCAGTAATGCTATGTGAGATGGCGTTATCAGAGAAGGCCAACGCTACGCACAGAGTGGACCCGACGATTGAATCAACGTTCGACTCAAACTTGACTGGAAGCCGAGCGGTGACACTGCACTCGTTTCCCATCTATGTCCAGCGTTTTCCTTTTCTAATTAGGCCATCTCATTCAGCACAACGGCTTTCTTATCTAGGAGGTGTTGCGCGGCGCCTCCTCCTCTCTGGCTCCGCGCCAGTTGTGCACGTCACTTTGCCGAGAACGAAAGGGCTCGTCTCACGAAAACCCGGTGGTCTCTGTCGGGTTTTCGTCAACAGGATTAAAATCTGGTGTGATTTAAATCTTGATTTAGATCATACCAGATTTACAATGATAATTTAAATCAAACCATACCGGACAATATTTACGAAAATCTTGTTTATTTGCAATTTGTCTATCCTTTGATGCTTTCCGATTTAAATTAAATAATCATCAAGCATGGAAAATGTATATAAGGCTGAGCACAAGCAAAAAGAATTTCTGAGCAAATCGTAGCTTTGAGATTGATCCTTACCCTCCACTACTTTCGTAACCTACGTAACATCCTACTGCAAATACATCAAAACGCAAAAATAAAGTAAAGCTATAACTTCTATGTCCTCTAGAAATCAAGTCAGAACACGCAAGAAATCAAGTAAAACGTTTTAAATGTAAAACTTAGGGTGTTTTTGTTTTATTATGGCGGCAATCACATTAATAAAAACTAGTTCGGTAAACACTACTTTACATTTAAGGTAATTATTTGTTCCGCGTTGTTATAAGTGCTCCCGCGAATGGATGAATCAATCTGCAACGTTGAGAAATACATCTAGTGGTAAATAATCAATATTCTAGCTTCACTGATTTAAATCAGGTTAATCCGACTTAAATCAAAACAATCTTATTTAGTGAATTTTTTTAAGCATTTTCTTTATCCACATTGCAGCCTGCGCTCTGCATGCCTGTTGGTCGCTAAGTCTTATGCGCCATGTCCGAATATATGAAATCTCAAAGGCGGAAGCAGTTTACATCGTCACTGATGAAACGTTCTGTCAGGAGCGAAAAAAAAAATATGAGACATTCGTTGATTTTATCGAGAGTTAAATAATCTTGGAGTGAAATAAAGCCTCCGATTTTACTCATTTCACTCATTTTGGTCAGAGCGATCTAGGCAGTCTCCCATCTGAACGAGGCTTTTCTCGAGAGCCTCCTTGAACTTGGCTGAAGACGTCTCAGGACAGGATTTGCAGCTCGAGATAGCGAAGGTGAGCGAGTCTGACTGGACGTTATAGAAGATGGCGTAACCGTCCGAAACAAACGGTTCGAAGAAGGTGGCGGAGTCGCATTCAGTGGATACCTGAGGAGAGAAAAGAAAAAAAGATTTGTTAATTGGCTCATTAATTATGTACCAAGGACGATAGTGCGAGCTTTGCCGTCTAAATATACTCCGTATCACGTAAAATCCGATCTCAGCCAACGCTTTATATTTCGACCGATTCAGCCCATCAAGCTGCGCTACAAGTGTAGACGGCGTATAGACCGACAGCCTGCTTTATAGACAAGTCAGCGTTTGCCCAGACCAGGCGTGGGCACTGCACACGCCCAGAGACCGAATTCGCCAGATGAAGCTTTTGCGTATGAGCCGTGACGAGAGCAGCTGCCATTGCATCAGCTCAATGTCAGAGCTGCGCGTTGCTGTATAACGCAACCGTGACGAAGACCCGACCAGGCTACGTTGTCCATGTACCTTGAAGTAGAGTCTTCAGGTGCAAGCCTTAACGTTTGAAAGCTGCGTTCCTCGCGAGTGCAACAAATTTGATATCTGATTCCTAAATATGTGTCCCTTTATCCCACTCAGCCATCGCAGGAGGCAAAAAGAACGACATTTACGAAGGAAGGGTTTGCTGGCGAGGGTTGCCTGGTTGTGGGAGGGGGAGCGGGGTGTAGACGCTGCGGACCTATTGTTTCCTCCTTCTACTATGCAGTTCGGGTTCACCCGAGTTATGTGTAGAACAGCACAGAAACTCTTTTCTAATTATATGAGGCCGGCTGTCTTTATTCTAATTTTTTATTCATAACTTAATACATTTAACTGGGAATTTCAGTAATTCAATTTTATTTCGTGATGTCCTGTGTTCACGTCCCAGTTCAAGAGTAGAAATTAAAACATATACCTGCGTTGATAATTCAATGGAAGCAAACGAATAATTAAGTCATCAAAGCGATAATTATAATAATTTCCTAATGATTTCAAATTATTCTGCCTATTAACTTCACCGGGTTCAGTTACTTCTCAGTAAAGACGGTTACTAGTCAACAGTCACCGTCGTTTCGGGGTATGATTCAAAATAAAAAGAAATATATTTTCTTATAAGTTTAAGTTTTGTGACTCAAAAAGTTCGAATTGAATCTATCTTTGCAAAAATTCTGTGTTCAGATTTGTTCCCAGTTTGTGACCTTAGAGCAGTGGTTCTCAGCCATTGATGTCTCGCGAACCCCTTGATGATCGGCAGAGATGTTGGAGGACCCCGTTCGTCGTGAGGGGAAGGGAAAGTATAGGTTAATTATTACAGTAATTTAATAAATGGATATAACTGAGTGCTAGTGTGAAGTAAACTTCACTTATTGACATATACACAAGAAAATTCACCCGAAAATCAGAACGTTTGTTCACAATTTGAAAAAAAATACAACTTTTATTTTCGGGCTTGACGGATGAGGCTGGACTTGGCGGACCCCAAAGGATCCGCAGACCCCCATTTGAGAACCACTGCCTTAGAGACACGTTTGTTATAAATACTATTCAGGGTTTCAGTTGAAGGGGGCCGACTAAGTGTGACGTACAAGGACATCAGTCGCAGAGCATCTTTTGTATATCCGTTCCAGGAGCAGCCAGTAAGGCACGAAATTTCCACTGTCTGCCTTCCGCTTCACAAACCATAAAAAAATAGGAATTGCAAAATTAAAAGCAGTACAAATCTGCGAAACCGATTTTTCTTTTTTTTTTTTTAAATGATCAACTGAAAACGTCTTACCCCAGGCCACTTCTATAGACTCCGTTACAAACTTTTGGGAACCAAGACGATACTGTATACGGTATGCCTTCGCGTGCCACATTTCAGAATGTTCCCTTTGCGCTATCTGAGGGAACCAGTTATGTGAGTCAAACCACACTTCGTACATTGTAGCGCAGGTAAGGCGTTTATGAAATTACTCTTTCAAAATGCAAACGTCATATGATAACCAAGAAAGACATCGTGTGTTATATAAGAATTTGCACATCAACGTGTACTCTGGCTTGACTCCAATGATTGCGAGAAATATTTGGACAAGTTCTTTGTGAAATAAAAGAGCACTCTCAAACATTGGGCAAGCACAAAAACTTTTTTTTTTCGTGTTTTCAACACGAGCACGCTTTCATTATTCAGCTTCAGTTGGCGATCCTAAATGCCTAGGCTGAATATTACACAATATATCAAACGATGAATGCGACCTGCGATCTATTCAAGAACCAAGGATCTCTGCATAATGTTCGCGACAGACATATGACGATTGTTATACTACGCGCTTTTTCAACCAGTCAAACTAAAGAATCAGGCTTTCTTATTTGTTTTTAGGCCCTATACTATGAGCCAATTCTAAACTTATCAGGTCCATGGGCTTTCGGCGCGCAAGCGGCTTAGTATAACCTGGTCAGGGGTTAGTCAACACAAACATGCGACTGTGAGACCCCAAGAGAAATAAGGGAACAGGAATCACATTCGCATCAATATGGCACGAGCCAAAGCAAACCAAAAAAAAATTTTTTTGGTTTACGCATAAGCATAGGAATAAAAAATGATACATCGATTGTGCGCTGTCCATAAACCTTTCCGGTAATCGTCTCCTGAGCGCTGCGATCTTTGTCTTCGGGGATGTGCGACGAGTTCTGAGCATGCGCTGTAGCTTTAGTTTCCAGAATATCAGGCGATGCGCACGCGCCACGGCCCAATGACTCGTCATTTTGTTCCTGGGTGATAAAGGCTGGTAAGATGTACTACACTTTTCTAAAACTCTCGCAATAACTCTCGTCAATCCCACATTGCACCGTGAGAACCGAAAATTGTGCGATCGTTCCGAGTTGTAGATCTAGGGCCGTCTCGTACGCTCCGCACATCCTGCAAGTGGCTTTATTCAGAACCGTGTATAGAGAGAGTTTGGTCAATGGGAGGCGCGGACAGAGCAAGGGCCTACAGAACACGCAGAAAGAAGGCTTGACATGCTCTCTTGGCCAACCAAAAGTCGAAAAGAATCCCCTAGCGGTGGTAGCGAGAAACAGTTTTAACCGTAGGCATATGGTTTTAATAAGGGCAGTGACTATTTTGACGTCCACCGTCAAAGTATCTCGAAACTTATTTCGACATCTGTGACGTCAGTTCCGTAAAACGTCAGAATAGGGGCTTTATTATTTCGACGTTACCCTTCAATGAGCCGCTACCCGTCGGAATGGAAGTAGTGCTAACTGTTTTGTGGTTTCGTTCTGTTTAGTTTCTGATGGTGCTGTCGGTGTTGTGTTGATGTTTTCACGTATTCATGTGTTGCGTGACTACGAAATTTCTCTCCTAGTAGGCAGCGGAAATGTCTTATACAGCGTGCGTGTGGGACTGACTCGGCAGTTGATGCTTTTGGACGTAACACGTCCGGCGGCGATGATCTGAGCATTCTGAGCTTGCATGTCATTTCGGCACGGGTCTCACTTAAAATTTTCAATGTACAACGAAGGCGAGCTGGATATTCCGCAGCCTTGCCTGCATGCAACAAATGTAAGTGCGTACACCCCTACCGAAAAATCCGGTTTAACTTTTCGCTATCCGGATTATGGAACCGGAAATCTATCTGGATCTATCTGAACTCTATCTGGAATTTAAGTTTTCAGAAATTATTCCTTTGTCTGCAATCTGGATTTCGGGATTCCAGTAACAAGTTTCCGGTTCCATATTCCGGGTAGTGAACAGTTATACCGGATTTTTCGGTAGGGACTACTTAATACTGGGAAATGTGGCACGCTTTTTGTGCTTCCATCCCAGTAGTAGGCATGGGAGCGTACGCCCGGCAGAACTTCCTGACCCCGATATGTTTTTTTCGTACAGCTCCCGCTGGCTTGCACTCTCATCTGCCTTCCATCGCTCGGCCTGCCCGTAGCAGGCCTACAGCTTCACCCGTTTCTCGGGTATACACCCAGCATGATGCCGCAGAGCATCTCAACGCCTATCAACTTTCCAGCGCTACTATCGCTGCCTGCGTGACAGCAAAAGCGCAATCAATATACCCATGGTGCTTCTCGGCACCCTATAAAAGGAACTGCAGCAAGGGCGGCCACTTCAGTGGGCATGGGAGCGTACGCCCGGCAGATCTTGCTGATTCCATATGTTTGTTTTCGTACAGGTATGTAAACGGCACACTTTACGTAAAGCGAAAACTAGCAATGATTACTTTCTTGTGCTTTCATGCCCCCTTGTTCTCTTTGATGTTGTTCGTGACTGTGCGACTGTACTCTGCTTCCTACTGTCACAATCGGGTGACACTGAGTCCAAACCAGAACCTATGACCGCTCAGCAAGCAGAGCAACTTGCGGCAGTACACGCGCTCGTTATGTCACTCGATGCTAGGTCTTCAAGGCTTGAGGGGTGGCAGGTTGCTTTTGGAACTGATGTCAAAACTGTTATTGATAAACAAGTGCTTCTAGATAACAGTATTGCTTCCCCCGATAGAAGACTTGCTACTATTTAAAATGAGCTTTCATCCGTTACCTCGATCAAAAAAGAGGTCGCCGATTTGATCAGGATCTTTAATGACGAGGTAGCCGCTACGTCTTCTCTGGTATCTCGTCTGGATGACGCTGAATATCGCTCACGGCGGTGTAACCTTATATTTTATGGTTTACCAGATAGCAGGGTTGTAAAGTACCTAGATACAAGGAACTGAAAATCGGTATGTGGGTACTCTTGTTGTACCTGAGGTACAAACCTAGGAACTTTTAATCTTCGTTATCTGTTTCGTATCTTAGGTACATTTTCATATTCCTTGTAACTAAGTGAAGTTTCTTTTACAGGTACTTTCTTATTCATTTCGTCAAAATAATAAAAACTATAAGCCTTAAAGTATTAACACACTACCATGTTCCGTGATTAACGCTGAGTTAGGTACGAACCTGGGAGGCACTGACTTGATCGAACGACGTTTTAGCGAACTAAGCCCCGCCAATGATATTTCATTGAGCGACCCTTCAGCGAATGGATGCAGTGTTCATTTAAGCGAACGGTGGATTAGCGACACCGTTCTAGTGACAGTAAATCATCGAATCGCTTCGGAACTCCG